GGGAGGGGGGCAGGGCGGCCGGTCTGCAAGGGCGGACTCTCAGGCCGCCCACCCCCCTCTCAGTGCCAGGAGGCTCCTGACCGCGGGGGGGGCGGAGGGAAATTAAACCCCTCCGCCCCCCAGAAAATCGGTCGGGAGCGTAGGGGCGGGCCGGGTCCGGACGGGACCGGACCCGGCCACTAACGCACCTACAAGGAGAGGTGTGACCGGACGGGGGGGCCCACGTCCGGTCATAGAGGATAGGAACAGAGGGCCGGGAGGGTAATATCCCTCCCGGCCCGGGAAGGGGGCGGGGTTTAGGTTCTCCCCGCCCCGCGGCTGAGGGCGTCCCGAAAGTAATGCGCAAGCGGTTCCCGGGACGCCCTCGCAACAGCCGCATAGGGCCCGGCAGAGGTTTTAGTGGGTAGGCCCCCTCCGGCCGTTAGTACCGGAGGGGGAGAGTCCCACACTACCCCTGGGAAAGTCCCGATTTCCCGGGGGTGTGCGTAACGCATTTCCTCTGCCTCAAAAAAAAAAAAAAAAATGTAACTATATTCCCAAAAGGTTTTATCACATATATAAAATAATAAAATGGTGACTATAAATCTGTGTTCATTCTACTATATTTTCATGTTTAGATAAACTATAAATATATGTTTGAGGCCAAAACGAACTATAAAATATAGTGAGATTATAGTTATTCCAATTATTTTTTTCTCTCAGTACAGTACATAAGCGGTTTGAAGGATTCATCAGAAAAGCAGCGAAAGGCTCTCTTGGAGAGATTGTAAATATCGGCAACGTGATATTCACATTTACGTACCGTCTATATGTAAGAAAATTGAAATGACAACGTAGCACACATACTTACATAACATCTGTGAAGGAACGATATATGAAAAAATATTGCGGCGCAACGGTAGCGCAACATGTTCACGCTTATCAAATGTGACATTTTAACGATGGTCTTCGTTTTGTATATATATATATATATATATATATATATATATATATATATATATATATATATATATA